AAATAGCTAGCAGTACTATGCTACATTGATTCTATGGTAACTGACTATACAGGAATGTGTATATTATATTGCTAAAAGAGAAATAAAATGTTTTGGTTTTTTTAGGAGCTGCTTCCCAAAAATGTCAACCACAGTTGGATTGAGCGGGTATTTGGGAAATGTGGTAATGTAGTTTATATCAGTATCCCACGTTATAAGTCCACTGGAGACCCAAAGGGATTTGCATTTGTTGAATTTGAAACAAGAGAGCAAGCAGACAAAGCTATTGAGGTAGGCCCAGCTTTAACACTTCTTTCCATGTCATAATTAAGACTACGATTTAGTCATGGATATTTTTAGTAAAAGTCATGGATAGGTCACGGGCAATAAACAAAAAGTCACAGCCAGTGACCTGTCCATGACTTTTACTAAAAATACCCCTAATTAAATCTTAAATGCTTGGGGAGAGGGGGCGCTCCAGCAGACGCTGCTGATCTGGGGGAGGGTGCTCTGATGGTCGCTGCTGCTTCAGGGGGCGTGGCCCCACTACTGCCACTGCTGCTGAGGGGGCGGCCAAGGGGGCCCCGCCGCTGCCCCCACTCCTCCTCCAAGGGGGGGGGGGTGCACTGGACCAGCTGTCTGGGGCTGCCCAAGCAGCGGCCGGTGCGGCTGGCCCAGGGCCGGCTGCAACTGCTTGGGCAGCCCTGGGGTCAGCCGCTGAAGCTGCGGAAGTCCCGGAGGTCCTGGAAAAGTCACGGAATCTGTGATTTCCGTGACCTCTGTGAAAGACTCACAGCCTCACTCATAATAGAGTGGCAAATGTGAATAGTCTCCAGTGCTGTAAAGGGCAGTGGACGGGAAACTTTAAATACAGGAATTCTCAGAAATAATAAAATTTCAAAGCCTGGATATCACCTTGATTTTTTGGGGGTCTTTTTTAAACCTGCAAATAGCTTCACAAACTGTAAAGTTTTCTAATTCAATTAAATTAAGTGGAGCAAATAGGAGAAAAACACACTGATATTTTCTCCCTTAATTTCATTGGGCTATTTTTTTAGCTCCTTTTGAACCCAGAATAAAAATCTGTTTATGACAGAAGCAAAATGGGAATGAAATGGCCTTGCACAGTTCACTGGAAGAGGATAGTGAAGGTATTAATACTAACTTTTATCATAGCTTTGTGGTGTGGTTTTGAGGTTTTAGAAATTATCATTCCATAGTACAACAAAAATAAAAGTAAAACTGTTGTATTGCTCTAAGGAGCTAGTAACACTAATGTCTTGAAGACTAATAAACTTTTAAGCAGTGCTCATGGACCAATTATCAAAAAGAAGGTACTTCCTTTGTTGGATTCTTCAGAGACCACATCTTTCTAGAATGGGTGTAGAGGCAGTATATATTTTTAGTAATTATTTCTTTTGGGGTGGGGGAGGAGGTATTCCACTGTGAATAAATTTAGTTTTTAAATAATATTTTGTTGATCTTAAATACTTTCTATTTTTTTTTAATTTAAGTTTTTGAATAATCCACCAGAAGAAGCACCAAGAAAACCTGGGATGTTCCCTAGAACAGTAAAAAATAAGCCTGTTCCTGCACTGAATACCAGTGACTGCAGTGTAGTGGGTAGGTATTAGTGGTGGGGGAGGGGGATATTTTGAGCATAATATTTTAATTCGGACATCTTAAACTCATTTTGCTGCTGTTTAATCTATTAATTTAAAACTTTATTGAAACAGAAATGTGTAACTTTTTGTTTTCTTTGGTAAATATGGGTTTAGGAAGCAAAACTGGAATACAGAGGTGAAGCATCTCTGTTTTCAGTAGTGAATTTCTGCCTCTTTTCTGTCTTGAATAAGGATAAAAATTTCTTTTCTTGCTAACCAAGAAGCAACATTGTTTGCTTTCATACTAGCAGACTTGGCTGTACTATTTATTAATCATTATTTAAACAGTCACCATGAGTCCCAGTCAGATTTGTCATACTTGCATAAAAACATTTAGCATTGAAGAGAAGGGTATAAATTATAATAGCAAAATTACATTTAAAGATTAAGGCTGCTAAAACCAACATGTTTTAGGTCTAGCAGGTCTTGGATGGCAACCATCTGGCATTTTTCTTTCTGCTCAACTTGTTAGCTGTATTTCTGTAGAACCAGAGAAATTTACCAGAATTTTACTGTCTGAATATCTCACTGAGGATCCTTCAGTCTTCATAACTCCAGTGCCTCTGGGCAGGGACTTCTAAATGTCAATAGAACGTTTGCTCACAGAAACATGGGGAAAATTGCAAAGGGAAAGCCCTTCAGTATGCTTGAGCAGTGGTTCTGTAAGTGATCTGTAGATTAATTTTGATAGCATAATTCTTCAAGGAGCATGATTCTAGTTTCAGTTGACTTGCACAGCTCATTCTTACCTTGTTTTTGATGGAGGAGCTCACTTTGTCTCATGCGGAGTCTTGAGGCTCCTTCCATTCACACAGTGAGTTTCCCCATCACATCCATCATTTTTCTGGCCAATGACTGACTACTCCTTTATTAACAACAAGGCTTTGCTCCTTAATCATTTTTAGTGGTGATCGCTGTGACTCCAAAGGTGAAGGTGCCGCTTCTACTTCAGGATCTGACTGTGCTGCTTCTCAGTAGTGTTCCCAGCCCATGCCAGTCTGGAAGCAAATAAACAGTACTGGGTATCAGACCTAATTTTCCCACTTTACAATACAGATAATCTCCCTATTAAGTAATTTGGCAGGCATGTAGTTCTTGGTATATACAAATTGTGATAGATTCAGTGAATTCATAAAAGCAGTTCTGACATTTTCCCAGTATCTACCAAAGGTTGTTTCCCCCAATAGACCTCATAATTTAAATCAGCGAGCTTTCCTATTTACTTGTCCATCCTGACTCAGTAAGGACCCTTTTCTTTCCTGCCAACCTCCAAAAGCAGCCAGTTCCAGGGAATGTTGTAATCACATACAAATCGTGAGGAAGAACAGGATTTTACCCCCAACCCTTTCAGGCACTCTTGATTCTCTCTGCTAACTCAACAGAGAGCATTCTAGGAAACCTCTTCTCAACCTTCACTTACAAGACCATGGCCTCACTCTATATTGGGAGATTCTAGCAAAACCCCCTCTATAGTTTTATCTCATCTTCCTAAAATAACTAGTAAAGCCCTCTGGGACCATCTTTTGCCTCTTTCCAGTAATTGCAAAGAAGTCAACTTTCCCAGGAGCTGAAAACTCTCTGATCTCTTCACATGAGGGCATGTTGTGCTACCTCTATGCAGTTAGGCTCGCTGATCTAGTCTAAGCTTTAATCAGGAATGCTAATTGACAAAGTTTTAAATGTGTTGTTTTGCTTTATACAGAAGAGAAGAAGAAGAAAAAGAAGAAAAAATCCAAAATGAAGAAAGAAAGCAGCTTACAGTCAGCTGCAGAAATGAAAGAATCATTGGACACTACTGCAGATCAAATAAGCAAGTCAAAGAGACGCAGGACAACATCTGAGTGCTTGGAAATGGAAGTATCTGGAGTCCATAGGCAACCTTCTAAGAAAGAGAGAAAAAAATGGGATAGAACAGAAAGCCCAGAGTTAACTGAGGAAAGTAGGCTAGGGAAGAGAAAAAGAAGCAACTCTGGAGATGTAGAGGCATTAGGTGCAAAAGTCAAGAAAACTGCTCAAAAAGATGATGTTCATTCTGTAAAAGAAGAAACGGCAGAAGCTCAAAAGGATTCCAAAGGTAAAAATATTATTGAATTTTGTACCTTTTGTATTTTCTTTTAGCTGCATAGAAGCAAAATTAACTAAAGATGGATTTTCGCAATCTTCCAGAGATAATGAAAGGTGGGTTTGCAGAAGAGGAAGAAGTGGGAATGGGGGAAAGAGATTTGGGAACCAAAATAGAATTTCCTTCTCAGTGTTAGAAATCTCATTGTTAGGGTGTAAGTTAAGGCGAATCAGTTTCTGAAAACCCACTTCCTTATGGAACGGTGGAATTTTGGGCGAGTTAGTACTTGGTGGCAGACAAGTGAAGGAGTAGGGAGCCCAGTAGGAGTCAAGGCTAGAGAAAAGCAGGGTTCCATGAAAGGAGGAGGGAATGAAAGAGTTGTGCATAGAGGGAGGAGGGGGATATACGCTCCTGGATTTGGGAGGGATGGCCTCGGGTTACTAGGCCTAGTACTTGGACTAGTGTGTATTGGGTAAATTTATGTGCTAAGGAGAGTGATAATGGATTCAGACATTGGACACCAATTACTTTTTATCAAAAGGACTTTAATCTTTTGAAGCATTCATTAGTGGTATTTGGGCCAATAGCTGGCAGATACATGAGGGTTCAGAGAATGAGTTAAGGAATATGTAGAGTTGGATATCATTGCCACAGAAATGTTGTCAAGTTTAAAGCTAGCACTAGACATTCCAGAGAGATGAGCAGAGACACTAGATAAGGTTTGATGCTCTCATCAGAAATGAATATGGTTTACAGGGAAGGCTCAAGTCAGACCTGGTATGGGCAGCTGGAACGCCATTGAAATTAAGTGTAGATTTAAAAACTCAAGACTATGCTGAAAGGCCCCATATAAAAACCTAGATGGGTAGGATTAAAATCAGAAAAGGAATGTGCTGGAGACACTTTTTCTTTTTCTTTTCTACTGGAAATAAGAAAGATACAGCAACACAAGATATTAAAGGCTATGTCAAAATTACATGTGAAGATAAGGATCCATGGTTAGAAGCTAAAAGTAAATAGCTAATCACCTGGGACTACAGCAATCTTAGTTTGGGGAAAAGGTTGATATCCACAGATCCAAAAGTTTGTGTTGAGAAAACAACTTTTTTCAGAACAAAAATCATAAAATCCTAGAAATGTAGGGCTGACAGGGACCTTTTGACGTCATTGAGTCCGCATACTGAGGCAGCCAAGTCTATATAAAATGGGAGAGGGGAAAGGATTGTGGTTCGCAAGTGAGGACTAGTTAGCTGAGGGTTTCAGCAGAAGGAGAGTGATAAGATCACTTTTGATCGGGGTAGTCAATTATTTTTTTGTCAAGGTCCAAATTTCTTGGCCAATGTATAGTCAAGGTCCAGACTCCAGAAAAAATAACAATAATGATAATAAATAAGTAAATAAAAAGATTTTGGGGTCCATTCAACAGCATCTGGCAGTCCAGATTTGTCCTGGAGTCTGCCTATTGACTACCCCTGCTTTTGATTTTGACAGGGAATAGTTTATGGGAAATAGAATAGTGCAGCGGTTCTCAAACTGTGGGTCGGAACCCCAAAGTGGGTCGAGACCCCATTTTAATGGGGTCACCAGGGCTGGCTTAGACTTGCTGTGGCCCAAGGCCAGAGCCAAAGCCTGAAGCCCACCGCCCTGGGGCCAAAGCTGAAGCCCAAGCCCCACTACCTGGGGCCGAAGCCCAAGGATTTCAGCGTGGTCGTGCTCAAGTTACAGGGTTAGGCTCAGGCTTTGTCTTTGGCCCCCCACCAAGTGGTGATGGGGATTGGGCTTTGGTTCAGGCTTCAGTCCCCCCTCTTGGGGTTGTGTAGTAATTTTTGTTGTGAGAAGCGGCTCGTGGTGCAATGAAGTTTGAGAACCACTGGAATAGTGGCTCATGCTACTGATGAGGGGGGAAAAGTAGGGAGACAGCAACTATTGCTGGAAATCCATTAATGAGTTTCTCTTATTCACATGGCTGGAGATGGTTTTGATGTGAACTAGAAGGGGTGTGGAGAGGAAAAGAATACTGGATTATAGGTAGCTTAAGGGAGAATTAAGAATCTAAGATGAAGGAAGCAATGGAGTGCAATATCTTTTCAGCTTTGTAAAGGATAAACCAGTGCTCAGTGGAGAAAGGAGTGAAGGGTTGGGAATGAAACAAAGTAGAGAGTGAATAATAGTCTAAAACAGGCACCATTGCATTCTGCATTGTTTTTCATGTTGGTTGACAGAGACAGTTTGTACTAGTCTGTACTTTTTTAAATATACTGTGGAAATAAATTAGAAGAGACCTCCCTACATTTCACTGTGATATTAGTAGGAAAAATTCAAACTGAAAAAGATGATCATAAATGTTGTCACAGCAGTGCTTCTTATAGCAATGTAAATGAAGGAACATGCCATTTCAATTATGTTTATCACTTTAAATATGATCTGTCCAAGTCATGTCCAATTATCTTTCTTTTGGTGTTTTTCATTTAGAAGTTAATACAGAAGAAGAGAAAGAGGGTGATAAGAAAGACACATCTCTTTCAAAATCAAAAAGGAAGCATAAGAAAAAGCACAAAGAAAGGCACAAGATGGGAGAGGAGGTCATTCCATTGAGAGTACTCTCAAAGTATGTTATGACATTAACTAATATGTTTATAGCATTCAGAGTAGTTTTTTTTGTGCTGGTTGAATATACCATACCATTCAAAAAGAGAGCAATGGTATTAACCCGCTTGCACTGTAGGACAGTAGTGTTTTTTTCCCCCCTCCTAATTAGTTAGCTGCTGTAAGCTCTCAGTCAACATTAGTTCAAGTTAATGTCACTGCATTAATATATCAGATGGATTTCTTATTTGAGAACTTGTCAAAATTTGTCTTAAGACTGCTGTTTTAGGAGTAGTAATGGGGGAAAATATTGTTTCCACCATATGGTGGGATGTTAGCTATATTTCAGATAATGAAAAATACACAGAACCCTGCTGTCTTTGTGGCAAATAACTTCAATCTCTTAAAGAAATAAGTGCAAAAGTAAAATGTTCACAGCATATCCCCACAATTAGGTTCATTATGGAAGCTTCTTAAGCCTAGTCTTTAAGAATCTCTCATTGACCACTGTTGGATACTGAAATAAATGAAACTCTGGTCTGTACTTTGATGGCATTATACAGTTTGCATAAGGCACACAGGTCTGCTTTTTCTTCATGTAAACTCAGGAGTAAATTACACCAGTGTTACACCCTTCAGCTTGGTGGTGTTTGAATTTACAACAATGTAAGAAAGACATGGACCGTGTTTTTTCCTTCCTATTAAAGGAATTGAATTTAGTGCCCGAGATAGGTTGAAAGCATTTTATTTGAATGCTTTCCTTTAAAATAAATGTTCAGGATTGAACTTTAGACTTTCAGTTAATTCTCTCAACAATTTAAATATGTTTTTTGCACCTATTTTCCAATTAATGAAAACTTAGCTTCAGTTATGATTTTACTATCCATGCAGACTGTGGTGTCAGTCATGGCACAAAATCTGCTAAAAAGTCACTAATCCCAGGATGTGTGTAGGTAAAATATTTTAAGTGTTTGTTTGGAAACCATATTATGATTTAAAAGGCAGAACAAGCTATGTAGCTTATCTTGTAACTAGCAATAAGTTGAGTCTTCTGTGGTAAGTATTTATGGGATAAAAGTGTTATTGGCTGTGTTGCCAGGTCCTTTGAATTTAATGGGATTCCTTCAAAAAGGATATTTTTAAAGAGTTGTGGATATAACTATGTTGTACTTTCTTAGATCCTTCCAAGATCAAAATTTGAATTGTTCATGATTCTCTACAAGTGAACAGACCAAATTAAGCCCCAGAAACAGAAGTTTATAAGGAGAATCTTTTACATCCGTTTAAACTGTTATATAATAACCCGAATTTAAATGCTTTCATGTTTTGACATAATGGTAGACGTGAATGTGCATGCTTCTTTACGCCAACATGCCACTGTTAACTGTGTGACATTTTCAAATAAAATATAAAAATATAACTGTCCAATAAAATCACAAGTTTTATAGTTTTGCATACTTTATTAAATCTTGCCAGACTGAAATTACATATTGAATACAATGCATCTTTTGATATTTATCTGAGAGCATCTAATATGTCCAGTATTACATTGCCATTTCCTGTAATATCTATTTGTATGTCTTACAGTCCATCACCATTGCTAAAGTGCAATTCCAGCTTTTACACAACAGAGTTGCATATTAGCAACAGTAGTGGCCTGCAGTTAAGATATATAACAACAAAGTTTAAACATTTTACAAGAGATATTTACAGCGAACTTTTAGATAACAAAACAGATTCAAATTAAAAAAAATATATATATTTTTTGTTGTTGCATCATGGAGTCCTGTATGTAGCTGGGTAAAACTTATCTTAAAAAAGGTTGCCATTTATTTAAAAGTAAAATAAAAAAAACTCTATACTATAAGTATTTCATATAAAAATTGCTGTTCTCCTTGATAATAGACAGTAGTATAGAAAATGTAAATTGAGTAGTTTATTTATTTACATTCCTTCTAATACTCTTAATACCAACATCTCATTGGATTTAAAAACAGCTATCTGTTGCTCTGTGTGTTGTATGCTACCTGGAAAATACAAAAATAGGTATAAAAGCCAAAAATACAGTACTAGCAAATACAAACACAACAAACTATCAAACACAAACAACATTCCAACTTGGGGCCCTCCAGATAATCAGAGTGTACTTTTAACCAGTGTACTTAAAACAGCATTTTCTGCTGTGTAATTGATCTGTAAATGAGCAGTTAGGATTCACCACAACTAAAACATGGAAGCACTTACTTTTTCAAGCATCCAGCAAGTACTTCCATGTTAAAGTAGAGGGGGTCCTTTACAACAAAGACTAACTATTTTTGCATGGGGGGGAGGAGGGGAGGAAGTAAATCCATGAGTGCATAGCTGTTATGAAAAGAGAGAAAATAACCCTGTATATAGGGATGCATTAGTGCTGTGGAGAAAAACAGTATTGACTGCCCCACTCCCCCAGAGAATTTCATATTTATGTCATGATGCCAGTCTAAGCCATGGATTCTGTCCAAGTTCTACTTACCTCATATGGGCAGGATTTCTCCCTTAAGAGTATTTTTGTGTAATTCATATCTACAATGCATGGAATGTTTTTGCTACAGATTAATTACAATTCTGTAAGTCTTTAGTCCTCTTAGGTTTCCACATCAAATGTTTTCTGTGGAAATGGGAATTTTTTCAGTGTAGATGTTCTGCAGTTGAAAATCAGGTTTCACCATCACTAAAACATGGAAGCACTTACTTTATCAGGAGCAAAGCAAGTACTTCCACATTAAAGTAGTGGGGGTCCTTTAAGCTGAGGCTGCAAACTTCTGTTATGCCTCTTTTTTCTGTAAAATATAACTACATATAAGAATTTGTTAAAATATCTATAGCATGCACATTCAGAGTATTTTCTAATAGTAGAGTAATATATATAATATAAAATGTAATCTTTAGGCAGCATTTTTGTTGTGAAAAATCTGAAGTTTGAAGAACAATTATAAGGGTTGATATTTTAAAGGACAGACTCGCTAGCATTTGTTACTTTTTGCACATTTTAGTTTGCTTTCTGAGCGGTGATCAGTCTTATTTTCTAGAAGTGTCATAAATTCAAGACACTAGGATCCACCACCACTGAAACATGGAAGCACTTACTTTTTCTAGGCAGCAGGTACCCCCATGTTAAAGCAAAGGGGGTCCTTTAAAAGTTGTCATAAATACCTCACTTGTAATAATCATTAACATTAATTACAATAACATACATAATAGGTAAACATGATTTCTTATTTTTCCTCTTCTTGTGTTTATTTCCTTTTATGGGTCAACAAATCCTCTGACACAAGAGCAGAGGCAAGGTTCCTGTTTTTCCATATGGATATTCCAGGACTGAGATCAGGATTCACCTCTACTAAAACATGGAAGCACTTACTTTTTATAGTCACAGAAAGCACCTCCATGTTAAAGTAGAAGGGGTCCACATAAACCAGTACTTTGCAGTGTCTGCTATCCTTTCCCACCAGTTCAGTACACCTGCTGCATGAAATATAACACAAGAATATTACATTTCTATTCATTATTGCATAGTAGAAATGCTTCAGAAGAACATTATAAACATTGAATTACTTGCCTGGCTCATTCCCCATGGTGTGCTCTTCCTTTTCAGTCTAGTTAACAGGGAGTGCCTCCTCGGGCTCTTATTTATACCATACCTTACTACAGAGTGGTTGTTGCCTTTTTATCTCAAAGAATCATTACATGGCTCTTTTGTTATTTTAATGTCTTTGCTCTGTGAGAACGTATGATCCTGGGTGAGCTAGATGCTTTTTTGAAGTATACAGTTGTCAATGTTAACAGCTAAAACCATTACCACAAGATATCCTCCTCTTTAAAAATCCCCTATCAGCTTGTTTGATAGCACAGATTAGGGTAACAATGAGTCGTTCTCACAGTGGCACTATAGGCATTGTGTTTCTATGGAGCAAAGCTCTAGCTGTTTGCAGAAACATCTCCATGTTAAATGTATGTAAATATATAAATTGCTTCCATGCAGTGTGGATTTTTTTAAAACTCTAATGCATTTGAATAGTAAGGAATGTTCTTATCTCTATAAGGTTGGTTTTTTTTTGGGTGAGTTTAACCAGTTGTTGGTTTTTAATCAGTGAATTTTCTAGAGAAAATGACTGATTTTTTAATGTAGTAAAACTAAAGAGGGCTCAGTGAACTAATCAGTCCTGAATTAGTGTCTGTGCTCTGTAATTCCAGTTCCAAATAATATATGTCTGATTTACCAAAGCATTCAGAATGCTTTCTGAAGATATAATACATTTGGCAATCTCTCTTAATTTGTTAGTAATTTTGTTCTCCTGTTAGTATTTATTTAGACCATTTAGTAGATAAAACAAAGTGGTAATTTAGTCAGATAACCATCAGACCCTAGACAGCTATATAAAAAGATGGGGAGGCCAGTAAGCACAACAGGGGAGAGCCTCAGCTGGCATATATTGCCATAGGTCCAATTTACGCCAACTGAGCATCTGCCCCCTGATGTCAGCTATGGTTTGTATTTTATTTGCAAGTCATTTTGACCATTGTCACCCATTGCAGCCTATCCCCACTCTCATTTGCTATCAAGATGTTGACTGTCACCTCTAATCAGTCCATGATGCTACCCTCTGTTGCCCACTTGCTAATTTTTCAAACAAGCACTCTTGTGCTTTTTCCATACTGTGCTTTGCGCTTGGGAGGAACTCCCCATAAACATCTTCAAAGCTACCTCATTATCCTCCTTCAAAACCCTCCTCAATACTTGTCTTTTTCATAATGCCTACAAAAATTTGATAAGTTTAGACTGTTGGTGTATTGGGACCACTGCCTATCATGCTGACCAATATTGTCTTGTTCTCTTGTGCTACCTCATCTGTCTCTATCTGTTGTCTCTTGTCTTATACTTAGATTACATTTTTGACAGCAGGGACTGTCTTTTTGTTCTGTTTGTACAGCACCTAGCACAATGGGGTTCTGGTCCATGACTAGGGCTCCCAGATTCTGCAGTAATACAAATAATAGCATCATAATTTTGTCTTCATGTTAGTAATGGCTTTTTTAAGTCTAATTATCTTTGCACAAGTATTGACATTTTTATTCCTAAATCTTTGTCTTACGTAGGAGTGAATGGATGGATCTGAAGCAAGAATATTTGGCCCTTCAAAAAGCCAGCATGGCTTCCTTAAAGAAAACAATGTCCCAAATCAAATCTGAGTGTCTGGAGAAGATGGAAACAGATAGTGGTGTACAAAAGTGTCCTCAAACAAAAAATGTCAAATGTAAAGGTTGTTCTGATGATCTTTATGTTGTGTGTTTTATGATGGGTTGTGGTTTTTTTTAAATGCAGTTGGTGGTCATTAGAGTTTGGTATTCGAATAGAACTGGAAAATAGATGTATATCAAAATAGTTCCACAGTGTACTAACTTCTCTGAATGGAAAAGGCAGAGTGAAATAAAGCTTTTACAACACTTCATATTAAAGGAACTATGTTATATAAAAGAAGTTGTATTTATACCAATTATGGTTTATTGAATTATCTGAATTAATGAATAATCAAATTATTTAGAAAATAATCCAAGATTACAAAATGATCTTTGCTTTTGAGACGTTTAGTTTAATTTAATGATAATATTTCATAGTAAACCAACTACCAAGTCTTGCGGTATTTTCCATTCTGGGCCTGTCTACACAAGCAGTGCATCCGTGTTAGTCAGAACCATGTTTCAACTCAGTTCTTGACAGTACCATACTAGCAATGTTTCTGTGGTCAGTGTAGATGGGGTAAACCGTGTTCCAGAAAGTGCCTTACTCTGTTACTGGGTTGCACTGGATCCCCTGAACTTCTGTCCACAAACTTCTAGCCTAGGAGCGCTAAACCTTTTTCAGCACTCTTCAAGATCATTCCAGAATTTGAGGTGCAAAGATCCTTACAACTAACAGGGTGTTAATTTAAGTATTCTTACCATAGGTTGTGTTTAAAACTGCAAAAGGACTTAGGCCTTTTGTTTAGGAGGGATTTCTAATTGATTCATTCATTATGCCATCTCCTGGTATTGTCACTTTGGTTTTATCTTTTGAAATACTAGTTTCTGCCATCAATATCCATATATATAAATTGATCCCAACTAACAATAAAGTATATATCCATTGCAGCCGTGTTTGGTATTCACTGTATGAACGCCACCACAAGATTTATTGCATTGTTTGTGTGATTTTTGTGGTTATCTTGTGTTTGTCAAGGTAATACGTGTGAAGCTTCATTATGCTCTTTTCCTCTTCAAATTAACAGCCACCAATGAAGATTCTGGCCCCCCTGAGAAAGCTAACACAATGGGACCACAGTTTGTGAGTGGAGTAATTGTGAAGATCATTAGCACTGAACCCCTACCAGGCAGGAAACACATCAAGGTAATGCCTTTGTAACCTCAGGGCAGCTGTTATCCTTTCCCCTTATACCATTCTGAAAATGATTGAATACCATTTAAACTAGTCCTATTGAATTTCTATCCGGCAACTAGCTGTATACATATTTCTGAATAGTACCCATTAATGGAAGATTTCATTAAAGCAGAACCAGGTTGAGAGAACCTATTTCAAAACCAACAATAATAAAAGCTTTGAGCAGAGAAAAGAGCTCTTCCAGAGAAGTCAAGTTTACCATAAAAATAAGTTTTATAAAACAGATTTACTTTTTACTGGGGATGAGTCATTTTCTCCCTCTATCACCAGCCCTGACTGCTCCACCCTTGCAATTTAGGTATGACAAACATCAGTTGAATTCTGTATTGTTAAGAAAACAAACAAAATAACTATTTAAGTTACTGGTAAGCTGTTGTTACTTCATATAAAGGCAAAATGGATGATAATTGCTTAATATAGATTAATCTCTATCAAAATAATATACAGTGCCAGTAATTTTTTACTGAACCTTTTTTTACTTAATAAGGTTTGTTTATCTAATAGGAACTTGAGGCCAATAAAGTGCTCCCTGAATGAGAGTGATAAAATATTTCCCTAAGTGACTCACAATTATTCCAAAAATACCATTTATGTTACATATGTAATTTGATAAATGAAATAACATGTAACTGTTACTTATTTTTGTGCTTGTCAAATTGGTTTTTTGGCCTTAGTTTACACGAAACTTAATATAAATTTGCAGCGCTGTGAGGTGATAGAAGACCAACATTCTTTTTTATTATTTGCAACTTGCAGCTTCTTATGTATTTTTGGTTCAGATAAGAAAGAATAAATAGAGACATGAACTTGTACCTGTTTGGGGAGACACAGAAACTGAGTTTCTATGGCCATTTTCATCACTTGCCCCTAATTTAAATACGAAACATCCATTTCAGAAGCCCCCGGCACAGTAATATGTGAAGTATTAGCATATGCTGGTTCTTTTGCATAGATGGGGCCCTGAATTAGCATATGGACTGAATCAGTTCTTTTATGACACTTAAATCAGAAGGTTTAATACTTGAATGCTTTTCAAACAGTAAACATTATGTGTTATTGGCAATATTGGAATGAATACTCTGTAGATCATTTAAGGCAATGAGAGAACTATTTCAGACCTAGTCTTGCAAAGACTTATGCAATTGCTTAAGTTTACAATCCTGTGAATAATACAATTGAAGTCAGGGTGGCTAATCATAAGTGTCTAAACTTCAGCATGTGCATACATTTTTGCAAGATCGGGGCCATATCTCTCTTACTGAAAACAAATTGGTGATATGCTTTCAACTGAATCAGTCTTATCTATTTAGGTATTTATAAGCAGCTATCTAAGAGCCAAGAGACATTAATGAGAGAATGTCTGACCTCCTCCCTCCCCCTCGCTCATCACTTGTAATATCTAGGCGCTATTCAGCGTTTGTCTGCATTTACATGTTTTATTGTGTCAGGGGTTTGTGTTACAACATGATGTAATATAGTCAAGGGGATAACAAAGTTTTGATCTTGTTTGTGTAGATGAAATCAAACTGTGTTAGACTCTCCGGTATTTTCAGATATGTAAATCAAATTACTTGCCTGATTTGCATCAGTCTTAAAAAAATAAATGATCTGACCTGTGACTAAGCATGAAAATTCTCAGGAGAAAAGGAAGGACTGTGAAAATATGAATTATAATAGAAAGTCACTCCCCATCTTAACTATGGAGTCACAACCATGACTAGAGAATAAACAGGGCAGACATAACATTTTACAAAATGTTACACAAAAATATTACGATGTTTTGGCTTACTTTCGGAAATTATGGAAATATTTTGTTGCTGGTCTGGTCACCTCTCTGTTGTAAGTCTAGGTTTCACAATACATTCTTGACAGATAAGTGCAAAATACCTTTTGCTGGCTTATTGCATATATTTTAAATGTAACATTATTGCTTAAACATTTCAGTTCTGATTACCAAAATGTTATTTCATGCTACTGAGTGGAGGCGCTTTTCAGAGATCAACCAATAAGCAAATATTCCTGTAAAATTAATTTTGGTAGTCTGCGTAATTTTCTGTGGAAATGTTATGTGGGAATACCAAACTTAGGGGTGAAAAGGTTTTGTTTGGACCACACATGGTCTTGTCAACCTAAGTGCTGGGGGGGTTTTAAGATTCAGCCTTGCAGCTGGAGGGTTAAAAGTAGTGCCTAATTCTTGCATAGAAACATTTTTACTTGCAGTACCTGCTGTGAATGAAATTGACTAGGAATGCGTGATCCCAGTTAATTTCCCTCACAGCAAGTTTCACAGGTAAAGTATTTGATTGAAAGAGTGTGTGTGACTCTTCCTTCTTCAGCTGCTGGTGTCAGTTTTCAGGCAGAGATCATTTGGTATAGGAGAAAAGGAACTCCAGTATCCACTGTAGTGTGCCATGTACTGATTTCCTAACTTCTTTACCGTTCTTGAGCTTTTTCTTTTCATTCTCCACAGTCCTAACCTTAAATAAAATATTTAGGTGTGGAAGTAAATATATTTTTGTTGGACTAACATATGAAATGGAAATACTATTGCATTATATAATTATTGTTCTGCTGTCATCCCTCCTAATGACTGTAAAGAACATCAACAAGGGTTAGCTGTTGAGTGGATTCATAATAGATCTATCCTGGGCTTGGGTTCTTGGGACACATGCAACTCTGAGGTAAATTATATAACCTCAATCTAGTAAACATTGACTATTCATAGATTTTCTTCTGAAAACTCAATAAATGTTAGCCAGAAATTATTTGACATCAGATTCGTTTATTAATGTAATAAAGTTCCACTTTCACTTCCTTGTAACTGACTTTAGAGAATATTTCCCAAGCCATTGCTCCTTTGTATGCACCTTGGATTTTCAAAGGACAGTATTTGAAAATACTGCAGTTTATTTTTGTTCTGGCTAACTTGTCTGAGTTCTCTTTTGTGCCACAGGATGTTCTAGCAATAATAGCTGATGTTGCTTATGTTGACATGCTGGAAGGAGATACAGAGTGTCATGTTCGGTTTAAAACTCCTGAAGATGCACAGGTTGTAATGAAAGCACATAAAGAAATTCAGATTAAAAACAACTGGAAACTTGAGGTCCTAACTGGTAAGATGTTTATTAAAATATATGCATGAGAGATAGCTCCTAGGAACTAAGAGCAGGACTGTTGCTGCATTTTAACTTTATTGCTGATATTCAGTTAAGATACTTTTCTGCATCATGTATAAATTACAGAATCAATATTTTGGTTTTATATCATTATTTCTTCTTGTCGCTATTCTCCCTTTTCTACAAAAACTATAGCGTCAAAACCTCAAGCATACTATGTCACTTTTTCTTTGTCAAAATGTGTTGGTATTTTAAATTGGTTGTCTTAACCAGGCCACATAATTTTATTCTTACAAGAGTGGTCATTTGACTTTACATAACTTCAACTGGCAGATCACTTTTTGGTTTCAGTGACAATGGATAGTTGTCACTGCAGTGAACCATATTCCTATTCCACTTTTCAGCCTTATAATTACAATGTGATGGTGAAAGGCAAGTGCGTGTCTCTAGGACATTTGGAATAATGAATTTTATGGAAATTTATGACTAGACTAGCTGATGACTATACAGGTATAGTTAAAGTGATAAAACTATCTTAGTTTGGATGCAGTTATACTGGTATAAAGATGTAGTATAGCATATTGCCGCTAGGGAAGTGGAGCGCCTTTATTCTGGTATAACTGTGTCCTCACTAGGGCTTTTACCAGTATAACTCTGGCCTTGTCTACAGATGGAATTTATTCCAGTATAGCTATTCTGCTTTAAATTCACACTCTACCTTAATCTGAAATAATTTTAATATGTAGGCAAGCTCTTTGTCAGTGATTTAAAAAAAAAAACACAACACCCACCTAATCTACATAGTTAGACCAGTAAAACTTTGAAGTGTAGACCAGCCTCTAGATAAAACCCAAAATGACTAAAGAACAGAACAAAAGGAAATAGAAACCATGCACCAAATAAAGGACAGGTCTGTAAATACAAATATTTTACTGAAACTGGTTTATTTTACCACAGACCAATAATGGATCCTCAAACTGTGGCCTTGATCTGGCATTTTGATCTGCATAGGTGTAGCAGTCCACCCAGTGGATCACAATGCAGGATCAGGGAATAGGGACTTACTATCATTGTTAATAGAGCCTCAACCTGCCTTAAAGTGATAGGTCAAGGAGCTCAATCCGTTTATCTTAACGAAGAGGCAGTTAAGGGGTGACTTGATTACAGTCTGTAGGTATCTACATGGGGGAACAAACCTTTAATAATGGGCTCTTCTGTCTAGCAGAGAGAGGTATAACACTATCCAGTGTCTGAAAGTTGAAGTGAGACAAATTCAGACAGGAGCGTAATTAACGGTTGGAACAATTTACCCAGGGTCATGGTTGGTTCTCCATCACTGACAATTTTAAAATCAAGATTGGATGTTTTTCTAAAAGATATACTGTAGTAATTATTTTGGGGAAGGTCGGCCTGGGTTATACAGGAGGTCAGACTAAATGATCACAATGGTTCCTTCTGGCCTTGGAATCTGGCTGTGTCTACACTACCACTTTAGCGCTAAAACTTGAGTCGTTCAGGGGTGTGAAAAAACTCCCCCCGAGCAATAAAAGTTTTAGCGCTGAAAAGTCCCAGTGTAGACAGCGCTTTTCCTGTCGATAAAGCTAGCACCCCTCATTCGGGGTTGTTATTTTTTTATCACCGGGAGAGCTCTCCCCCGGTGATACAGCATGACTACACTGCCCACGTCACAGCACGGCCGCGCTGTAACATGGGCAGTGTAGACATACCCTCAGGGTATATCCACACTTAAACCACTATACCGACACAACTGCAGCTGTACCACTGTAGTGCTTCAGTGTAGACATTACCTACACTTCCCGTCAGTGTAGGTAATCCACCTCTATGGGAGGCTGTAGTTAGGTCAACGGAAGATTACATCAATCTAGCATTGTGTACATCGGGGTTAAGTCGGCATAGCTATGTCTCTCGGGACTGTGGATTTTGCACACCCTTGAGAGGCATAGCTACACCCATGTAAGTTCCCAGAGTAGACCAGACCTAAGAGCCATAATGTAAGCATTTATTTGTCATGTTAATTCTTAAGCAGAGTTCTGTTGGAAGTTTGTGATCTACTGAATGCAGCAATATTTCATTTTGAGATGAAGCTTTGCCTTTAAACCGTTCCAGTTCTGAGATCCAAAGACAATCTGAAGAAATACAGCATTTACTTTTCAAGTTATAATATTACTGTTCTTTATTTTTACTCTCTATTTAGCCTTCAGTATTTTAACATTGTCAAGTAAGACTAGAGTGTTACAGTTGGGGTTGATGGACCTTGGCTTTGCAGGGGACTCTTACTTTACCATAGATCCCTTTCTGGGTTTGTAGTGCTCTCCAAGTCATTGTTTAGGGGTTTTTTTGTTTTTTTTTTTAAAATCAGCTCATTGAAATGAAAATAAGTAACTTTTAACCATCAAAAAATTTCCCAGACTTGACCTCAAAACAAAGATGATTTTGGGGGAGCAAATTTCCTCTCTGCTTTTTTCCCCTGTGCCTTCCTCCCCCACATAAAAATATTCTTTCAGATTAACACAAAGTCAGTGATTGAAGATTTATATGTATGCCTAATGTTGTATTTAAAACTACTTTTATTGAAATGAGCTTCCATTTTAAAATGAGGTTTTCCTCCTCTCATAATGAAAAGGGATTAACCTGTTCTTACACAGAAGTTCCTTCCTTGCTGAGAACTGAAGTGCCAGGTTTCATCCACAAATATTGTTCACATGGTTATACATATTAAAATAAGTTGACCTGGCCATGACAGATAAAATGCTGCGTTCTTTATATTGGATAACCTTATTAATGCACTATCACTTCATGTGTATGTCAAGGTGATCATGAACAGCGGTACTGGCAGAAAATTTTGGTGGACAGACAAGTTAAACTTAACCAACCTAGAGAAAAGAAGCGAGGCACAGAGAAGGTAAAATAAGTTTGAATAGTGGATTGTCTGGATTTATATTTATTTTTGTGTAACAGTGATTGAAATGTGATTTCTGTGATCAAAAGCATGGGTGAAAGGGAAATATCTGTATTTTTCCTCAACTTCGTGATCTTCCGCTCCACTTTCGTCTCTTATCTTATCCTGATGACTTGGCAGTAGATTTTACAGTCAAATGCTACAGCAAAGTAGGGAGCACTTGGTTACTGCAGGGTCCAGTTGCTACATGTAGAAAATAAAAATGAATGATTTGCCCACCTAGACACTGGTGTTCTGAAGCAGTCACTGCTAATGAGTTTTGTGTTTGCATGTAGTTAAAGAATTCTGATTTCTGGTTCTAAGAGGTAAGACAGCTTTACATTTAATGGAATAAATTGATTGGTCTGAATAGTATTTTAAAGCTGCAAAACAATGCATTTCAAATGGAATTTAAAAGGATTTATGTGCTGTTCCATGATAAAGTTAAGGGGTCTGATTATACTAGTATTGCCAACTCCTGTGATTTTTATCACGAGTCTTTCAATATTTGGTGTTTTCCTTAAACCTCTAGCTCAGGGGTAGGCAACCTTTCAGAAGTGGTGTGCCGAGTCTTCATTTAGTCACTCTAATTTAAGGTTTCGCATGCCAGTAATAAATTTTAACATTTTTAGAAGGTCTCTTTCTATAAGTCTATAATATATACCTAAACTATTGTTGTATGTAAAGTAAATAAGGGTTTTAAAATGTTTAAGAAGCTTCATTTAAAATTAAATTAAAATGCAGAGCTCCCCAGATCGGTGGCCAGGACCCAGGCAGTGAGAGTGCCACTGAAAATCAGCTCGCGTGCCGCCTTCGGCACACATGCCATAGGTTGCCTACCCCTGTTCTAGCTCATGGTGTCAGGCAATTACATGAGAATGTCGGCTTTTATTTAAAAGCAAGTAAGCTCACAGCCCTCATGGTTGCGGAGAAAAGCTTGTAAACATGAACCCTTAAAGTCTCAAAAACCAGATGGTAAAAAAAAAAAATCAAAATTTTTTTTAATTATTATTATTATTATTATTATTTGGAGCGTGACTCATGATTGAACAGTTTGTATTGCATACACGGTGTTGGAGACCAGACCATGAGGAACACTCCCTGCTACATCTGTGCTCTTGTGTGTGCACAAACTTGCACGTTTACTATCTATGGATGAGATTCTGTGCTACACCAGAACTTACAGCCCAAGAGGGTGTTGGGGGAGGGGCAGGGGGTTCAGAACCCTAACAATTCTAGACTGCTGAGGGCCAGAATGGTCCCAATGGAACCTAGGCTCTGCCCATAATCGCTATTCTTGCATAGCCCCCTAGTGTAGACACAGCATCTGCTGACAGGAGGACTTCTGTCAGCATAGTAATACAGTACCATCTTCCTGAACGATATTAGCTATGCTTACAGAAGCCCTCTTCTGTCGGCATAGCTGTGTCTATGTTGGGGGTTTTGCCAGCACAGGTATATAGCCCAGGGCTGTCTAAGGCCAGGTCTACTCTACAAGCTTCTGCCACCATACAGTATTGCCAACCCCAAATGTTGAAAACTCATGAGTCAGGCTCACCAAAAATAATGAGATTATGAAAAAATAATAGATTTGGTCTTCTTTTTATTTGTCTTCTGCTTTTTGAGCCTTTAGGGTGCACTGGGGTCACATTTTGAAACTTTCTCCACAGCCAGAAGGGCTAGAACTTACTTTTTCTTTAAGCATGAAGGCTGAAATCATCACATATCCACTTGACTTCTTTTTAGGAAAACAGTGATTATTCACCCCTTCTTGTCAACTATTGAGAATAGGCCTCTTCCATCTTAATTGAATTGACTCGTTAGTACTGTGACCCCCCCCCACTTAGTAAGGCAACTCCCATCTTTTCATGTGCTATAATATTTATTCTGCTTACTGTATTTTTCACTCCATGCACCTGATGAAGTGGGTTTTAGCCCACAAAAGCTTATGCACAAATAAATTTGTTAGTCTCTAAGGTGCCACAAGAACGCCTCATTGTCATTTTTTAGTGATTATCATGAGAGTTGGCAACACTGTGATCTGGCAGAGGTGGGAAGAATTGTGATCCTCGAGTGACATAGCTGTCCTGACATCAGCCTAACTGTGTGTAGACACAGTTATACTGGCAAAATTGTACTTTTGCTGGTATAGTTTATTTCGCTTGCAGAAGCCGGTATAAGTTGTAACGGCAAAAGTTGAATCCATACTAGAGAAGCGCTCCTAGTGTAAACCTGGGCTAAGTTTTTGCTGCCCAGAATCTTTGTAGAACTGTGCACCTAAAATTCTCCTCGCACCCTGTTGCCACCCCTTAAGCCACTGTTTGTTAAGGGGTTCTTGCAAAACAGTTTGTAGCTGTCATTTTCAGTTCCTGCCCTGGGAATTTCTCCTTTGCCTAGATCTGGGGCTTTTAGAGTCCCTTTACACCACTCTGTCCCCTTTACCTTGTGTACAAGGGCTGGAGAAGGGGTGAGAATCTCACCTTACATATTATTGCCTTGATCACCGTATATCCACTGCAAGTAAGGTCTTCTGTTTGAATTTTAAAATAACCCTTTTGTTTTCACCTGTAAAACTGGAAAATCATCTGGTTTTCTTGACCAGTCTTAGTTTCCCAGTTGCATATATAGATGAAAAGGAAAAAAATCTTGTATGGCTGCATTGCTGCTTCCTTCTTCAGGTAAAAATGCTATTAGCAGTATTTTTTACATATAATATTATAATATTTCATATAATTATTGAATGTTCTCTGAGCTCTCACATAGGTAAAGCTACCATACAGGGATTTGTTGTTGCCATTTTTGATTAAATGATGGATTTTAATTTTTTTTTTGTTTTTAAATCAAGGGTTTGATTTTCCCCCCTTCCCCTCCCCCCCCCCCCCCCAACCTCCCAAAGGTTCCATTGACTTCAGCTGGGGTTGTGGAAACTCAGCACCCAAGTTTCTAGCGCTTCTTGTTGTGAAGATAGTACAGTATTTGCTGTGCAAATTGATGTAAGGTAGCCTGTAATGTGTAACTCATCTAGGCTTGCAAAAATAAACTCTCAGTTCTGCCTAACAATAGCAGCAGCAAAAGGTGCAAACTCTCACTCCTCCCCCTCTCCCATCACCTTTCAACCCAGAGAGGTGTTAGCTTCAAAGCCTAGTCAGGTCTATTTAAATGCTAACATTAGTAAGCAAGGCTTTTTGAGAGGAATGATTAACGGAAGTCAGATAACTTTAACTCTTTCACTGCTCTTTGATAGTCTGTGTTCCAACTGGAATTTCAACAACTCTAATATCTGTTTTTTGCCCTGCTCATCACTGTTCATTTATAACTGTCAAACCTTTGTTAAAGATCCTTCAGAATTAGTTATGTTTTTTTCTTTGAAGTCACAATTTAGGAAAGCAAGAAAATTATTGTAATAAAAACTTTCATAATTAAGGCTGTACAGTTCACGAAGACATTACAGTTAAGAACTAATACTGGGAATGGGCAACAGGGGATGGATCACTTGATTACCTGCTCTGTTTATTCCCTCTGGGTTCCTGGCATTGGCTACTGCCGGAAGACAGGATACTGGGCTAGATGGACTTTTGATCTGACCCAGTATGGCCGTTCATATGTTCTTAGCATTAAAAGGATATAGTCTGAATAGAATCATAATTCTAGTTGGAAACTCGTCTGTCATAATTTAAAATGATCTTCCAATTATATGAATAAATCTGAGGGTGACACACTGAATGCTGAAGGTCAGGATATATTGAAAAGAGTATTTGTCAGACTTACCTGGTACTTGGCTCTTCTCTAAAGAATTAGGCATCGTTTTTGTTCACTCTACGCTCCAGCTTGGGCTCTGCCTACATTAAATAAATGTGCACCAGTGCAATGTTTGAGCACCGATGTAAGGTGGGGCTTACAAAGCACTACCATCAATTCAGAACAGGGCTGTGTGCTCGTGGTTTCTACTGCAGTACAAGCATTTGGTGCAAGCACAACAGTGTGCGCACACACAATTGGTTTAGTTTAACCATTTTATATTCATATAAGCAACTTTAATTATAGGTAAGGCTTTACAGTGGTGCTCCAAAGTTAGCTGTACCGGTGTAAGCCCTGCTGTATAACTGCATCAATGTAGTTAAAGTGGTGCAAGTTTCCCTAGTATAGGCTGGGCTTTATTCACAAGAACATCTGTCTTCCTACACACTTTCTACCTAGACTTGAAAGAAATTGAGGTACTTTTGTCTGTTCCTTGTTTCTTTGTATTTTCTCTGCTTCCTTTACTATATTTCATCCGATATATCTGCTATAACATGCATCTGGCTTGTGTTCTGGAGGATAGTGAGGGTGCCATAGAGTGAGTCTATACTTCTGCTGTTGCGGTACACAGGGCCTATCTACACGCAGACTTGCACAGATTTAGTTAAATCAATGCATGCCCCAGTATGGACACTATATCAATTTTGACTCAATATCCTCCAGAACACAAGCAAGATGTTTGTGTGGACAAGACCACAGTTTTTTTTAAAGTTGGTGATTTAAGATAATTGATAAGATTCTGTGTCTTTAGGTAAATCTCAGCAGAAGTTGTCATCTGTCTTTGTAGATTTATTAAGGCCCTAAAGGTGTACAGTGTATATATGTAAGATTACGTTGTTTGTTTTTTTTTAAAGTAAGTTTATTGGGGAAAAAACAAAAAACAGTTGCATAGATGTGAGTCACCATGGATCCAGTGATGGCAGAAATTTCCTTAAATTCTCACTTTTGTTTAAAATAGACTTTTGTGGTATCCCATTTAATTTCTTCAGATTGGGGACAAAAAAGCTGAATCTGCAAGTTAACTAGTAGTGCGGTTTGCTTCCCACGAGGGTAAAACATGAGCATTTTTGCATTTCATATTACTTTGGACTGAGAGCTTTTCCCAGCTATTGTTCTTAATCTCCAAGGAGTGAGGGGAGGTTTGCTGTTGCCACGTGAGTTATGTGGTGTGTGCTGTGATAAGAGAGAGGGGTTGAAAGTATGAGAGTAGAAATGGAAGAAAATTTGCAGCTCACATGTTAGTTGTGGTTTGAAAAACTGAGGACCTCTCTTGGACTGGCCTAATATTTTGAGCCTGTGTCGAAGAAGGAGGGCCCTCTGGCCAGCAACTGGACAGTGGACGATAGAATTGCTTTTGTAGTGGGAGAGTTCCCTGTGGCAAAACAGGGAATTTTTTTATCCCTGTTTTGGGATATCCAATTTTTTTTGTTTGTTTTTTTTGTTTAAAGATTCCAAGTTCTCCCAATGTCTTTATGGTGAGTTCTGTGTGCTGCTGTGCAAGAGACTAGGTGTTGATTTCCTGGCTAGGCTATCCAGGGCTGGGAGTGCGGAGGATATAGCATGCTACAGATCTGTAGGGGAGCCACTGCCTCACGTTCATTACTCTGCATCAACTCTTGTGGCTCAGCTACAAATGAAGGTAGAGCTCCAACAATGGCTCTGTCTATCCTCCCTCTGCAAAGGTGGTAAATAAGTTGCCATGACAGAGAGCCTTGAGGTTAGGGGAACAGGGTTAGGGGAATGGTGCAAGGCCCTCTGGTCAACGATGAAATAGTTGTTAGGCAGGTCTTCCGTTAATGCCAGTAAAAACGGGACTCCTTCCCTTGGAATGTTCATTTTTATTATTATACTATATATAATGTAATATCGTTTTTAAAATTATACAGGCAGCCTTGGATTTTGAGGTTTGTTTGATTCACAGTTTTTTTTTTTAAAGCTATAAATGCTTATTTCTAAAATGTACCATCAAGTCAAATTGAAGGGTTGAGAGAAATTGTCAGTAATACCACAATTTAACATTTATAATTTCATATGCCTTACAAATACTAACTAATCCTCAGGACCCTGATAAGAGAGGGGCTATCTCCATTTTACAGATAAGGGAACTGAAACACAGAGAGGTCATTGATAGAGCTGGCATTTGAACTCAGGATTCCTAGGCCCAAGCTCATTCCTGTGGCCAATACTGTTTACATTCAGATGAGTAGTCATTAGATTTGCAATACATAATGCATTGTTTTCCCAATCTAGGGGATGGGCCTTCTTCTGGATTTCAGTCTTTTGTCTCTCCAGAAACTGACTCTAGAAAATGACATAGCATTCCTGACAAATTTATTTCTTTAAGGTTTGATCCTGCTATAGTTAAGTAAGTAAGAGCTTGAAGCCGCAAAGAACTAGTCCATTTAAAAATGGCTATGAAGGTTTTGTTTGAGGTCTTTGGGTTGTGTGTGTTTAACTATCAGTTCCTTTCCTCCCTCCCTCCCTTCCCCCACGTTCGATGGGACACTGGGATGGAATGTTAAAGGAATGTTAAAGATACTAATCTGTCCAGAGATTAAGGGAAAACTTTGTGCTATTTGTGTACTTTCTGATGGTTCCTATATGCTACTGAGCAAAATAATATCAGGAGCCACTTCATTTTTGGTATCAAGAGAACTATGCTCTGTACAGATTGGTTCAGTTGTTCAAAGATTAGTTATCTTCTGTGAGACCTGCTAGCATGATTATGACTTTGATATAAACCTGTAATCTGAATGCAGTTTTTCTTTCACCTTTACTTCAATGTTATGTTTTGTTTTTGTTTGTTTTTTTTGTAGCTGATTGCCAAAGCTGAAAGAATGAGACTTGCAAAGACACAAGAGACACGTAAACATATCCGCTTCTCTGAAGATGACTGACCTAAAATTGATTTTATTCTGTAAAAGGATATTTAAAATAGTCACTGGATATTTTAATGAAACCATAAACTGTTCTTATGAAGAAGTCAAAAACCAGTCCATTTGCTTCATAATTCTTCAGTATGCAATTTTATTCTAAATTCAATTTTTAAATATGTTGAGTGTTTGCTGCTCCTGAGCCTGTAGGTAAAGCTTTCTGGGAAAACGTATCAAACAAGGTCTTGCTTTGTTTTACATTTAGTTTTACTTCTAATGAATTTTTGTATATTGCAGTTTTATAAACTGAATTATAGAAAAGAACAAATAAAATGTTTTCGAAATTGACAATATTAATTTGACTTTTGTTTTAAAAAGATCAGCAAAGAGTAATGTGAATAATAAAGCTAATTTATGTTAAATAAATTGAGGTCTCTGCTTCCTCCATCAAATTGTGGAGGAAAAAAGTAGAAAGATTGAAATTATAGTAAACACAGAATAGATAATTTATCTAAAATCATATTTAAATACTTTAGGGCTGTCAGAATATTGGAGTGTCACAGAGGTGGTGGGCAGGCTGAAAAGAAACCTACTGAATATGCCAAAAATTAATTTAACAGCTCATTCCTTAAAAAGATCTTCTTTGGAACAAGTTTTGCAAGCATATCTGTGAGGAAGGTAAATAAGAAAACATTTACATTTGTTGTTTGAGAATTCTAGTTCCATAAGTAACTCCTATTTATAGCTAAAAGTGTATATATTATGCAATTTATGTGTTAAAGATACAATCTAGTGCACTTGAATATTTCACATTGCATTGTAGGTTGACAGTATGAAATATTTTATAGCATAATTTTATTTCTACAGCTTGAGCTGTGGGTTTCAGTCTTGGACAGAATAATGGTTAAATATATGAATGATCAGCCCTAGTCTTTGAAGTTATCTCTCCATTAATGTAAAGAGAAGTTTACACTTTTGTTTGTGCTTTATTGTTTGTGTCTGATTGCAGAGCAAATAAGACACTAACTCGTTGATCTACAAAATGTGAACACTGCTAGTTACAATCAGAAGGGTGAACAACTTGTTTTAAAAATAGAGGTACATTCCTAAAATATCAGCATAATCTATTTAAATAAACTAAGTCAGTGAAATGCATCGATTTTCTGTGCCCATAGATTGTGTTGCTGGCAAATTACAGGAGCAGTGTAGGTGTTTGTACTAGTCTCTCACACTGTGCTGGTGATATCAGTATATTTCTACTGTATGTAGCGATGATCGTTCATGGTGCAACACCGAGCCACACAATTCTGCCATTATTGACAGCCACTGTTACACAGTCATGGAGAGGAGGGAACCAAAGAAGAGAGAAACCTGGGGAAAATACTAGAAAAGGAGGCGACATTAGATAATACAGAATTGACCAATCTGGGGGTGGGATCAGACTGTTTCAGAGAGGAATGAAGCAGAGCAATAGGAACAAGGAAGGTTTCCTGAACATAGAATTCCACAATTTGCTTTGTCATTGCGTGCTTGTTCCTGTGGCGGCCCCTCCTGTGTGTGGCACACACGCTCCAGGAACAGTGCTGGCCTGGTAGGCTCAGGCAACTGTTAATTTGCACAAGCTTCTGTCCTTTGCTCCCACACCATTCAGCTCAACCACAAGAGTGAGTACATGCCTCCGAGCCAGCAGTGGGTGTGACCACACCCCAAGCAGTATTTAGATGTAGCTATCTGTGGAATGAAGGGGAATAAGAGGGTAGAGTAGAGAGGGAGCAAAAATTAGGAGATCGAAATAGATTTCAAATAGTGACAAAAAATATGCAGGAAAAAATACAAGATAAGATAAAAATTGAGACTAGAGAGAGAAAATGGACAGAAAGAAGAGAACATGACTAGTGGTTTGAGGCTATTGTACAAGAGGATATAAGGAGATGTGCTAAGAACCACTGTGTTTTAAATCCTCCTCACACAAAATCAAATTAGCCTCTGAGTTTCACCAATATTTGGAAGTTCTCTTTTTTGCAGCTTTCAGACTATTAAAAATCCTAACAAACATATAAAATGTTTAATTTTCTGCCTGGTAAGACATTTCATTATAAAGCAGGGTTATTCTTTTCTTTCACTGAACCTTCCATGTTTTGCACAGGGCTGAGATGGCAATGGTCTGTAAAATAAATCATGTACCCATCTTTAGTGCCACTGATTTTTTTTTTTTTTTTTTTTACAAATGGAACCTTCCCTACCCCTTAGTTCCTCTCCATGTTTGCATTAGCCTAAGCGCTTAAACAAGGAGAAGTGTTTTTCCATTTTCTTTATTTAAAGTCCTGCTTAGATATATCATATGCCCTTGTTGAGCTCCTAGCCCCATTGAAATCAATGTCAAAACTCCCATTGACATTGACTTCAGTGGGGGTTAGGGGTGGGGTTAGGATTCCATCACATGCTCTTTCTGAAGAAATAAACAGGAATTTTGCCAGTGACTACAAATGGACCAGAGCTCTTCTGCACAGACCAAGTATGAGCCATCTGCTCTTCCATGGGAAGAATAGATGTAAGTTTGTCAGAATGGCTTACATATTTTTTTTTAAGGTTAAATTTTATAATAGTTGCTCTGTTTGTTCTTGTGCCTTGCCACTGCAATAAGAGGATTCTGTCTGTTGGAGATGTATTTAGCAAGACTATCCCAAAACAGAGATGTAGCCCTCCTTTCACCTTTTTGTCTTTCCAAAGGAGTGTACTGTCTAACTCCTACTGGGAATCTCTACCCAAGGTTGAATTGGTTTTTTGGTGGAGAATATTACCATCTGGAACTTCCATGTTCTTACACAGTGCCTTTTATTATGTAGAATAATCTGTTCATGGCTCAGCCACAAATGGGGCAACTTTAAATTGTGGGGGCCAGTCCATTTTTCACAAATAATACAACTTGACTCAGAAAAAGAGATGTCACTGATGCCTCATGCTGCAAAGTAATCCTTGATCTTTGGTTATTTCACATATTTTGTTGCGTCTCCCATCTCCTAGAGCAGTGGTCTCCAAACTTTTTTGATCATGCACCCCTATCAGTAAAAAATTTTTGAGCACGCGCCCCCTGCTGCGCCGAAGCAAAAAAAAAAAAAAAAAACTTCTCCCCCCCCCCAAAAAACTAAAGCACAAAAAAAAAAAAAAAACCCCGCTCCTCCTGCCACGCACCCCACTTTGGAGACCACTGTCCTAGAGTATCTACTTTTTATAAGAACATAGTTATTCCATGTTGTGCCTGGAGCAGTCTTTAATTGAAGCAGCTCTTAGTTCATGACCTCAGTAGGCTTAGGAACTTGAAACATGTTCAGTACCAGCAGCATGTTTTTAATGCGGTTACGTTTTTTACCTCCGTCTCCTTTTACGTGTCCTTTACAAGGCAGAAATAGGACAGTAAGTATGAGTTAACTGAGGCCACTGGGCACTATCAAAATATAAATGTTAATCTCTTGGTTCTTTACTCAGAAATAATTAAAGGATGGTAAAAATAGGAGTTATCCAACTATGAAACAATTGGATAGTCTTGAAATTAAGAGCTTGGATCTTGGAGTCTCTGATGCCTTATGGAGGATTTCTTACAAGCCATCTTCTCTAGATACCAATCCCTTTCAGACAGTGCAGACTCAACAGACTTCAGCATGGAGGGGGTTTTCCAGCTACACCACTTGTGCCTGGGGAGCATACTTTTTCAGAAGGCTTCCCTGTCTCCTGAGCTGTTCAAGCCTCCCACGTCAGGATTCCTAGGCACTGGGGATGCTTTGGGGGCATAGTGGAAAAGGGCCTTCACACAAAGCAATTCTTTGCAGAGTAGCCTTCTCCCTAACAAAGATGGTTAATCGTGTTTATTAAAGTAGTGCCTAGAGATCAACCAAGATTAGGGCCCCATTGTGCCGGACTCTGCACAAACACAGAGCAATAGGCAGTCCCTGCCTCAAAGAGCTCACATTCTAGATAGACAAAGTATAGGGAAAGGAGTAGAACAGGCAGAGCAGAGCAATCACTGTGATGGCAAAAAACAGCATTTTCGTTTTGCAGTTTCTTTGTGGGATGGTGGAGGTATGTGGAGTGACGCTGAGGTTGAGATTGGAAGGGGGCGCTAGAGCAAACAGGTAATCAGCAGAGGGGAAAGTCCAGTCAAAACTGTAGAATATACTATCCATGTCTGTTGGTCTCTGCATAAGCTGCTTCTGCAGCTGCTCTGCTGGCCTCAGTCTCTGGTTGGGGCCTTTCAGCAGTTTCTTTCCTCTCTGGACACATGGCAGGGGGAGGGGAGGCACCACATGTGTCCTAGTGGCCCCTAGAGGTGGGGGGTGTACTCAAACCTACCTGAGGCAGGAAATTTGGGATAGGAAGCACAGCTTTGTTGTCAAATCTGCCATTACTGTTCAGATTCGAAAACCCCTATGAGCTGAATAAGTTTTTCAAAAACGCACTCCTGACTTATGCTAAGTAAATGTAATATTTGCTCTTGAGGATTAAGGTCAGGGCTCTGAAGGGAGGCATTCTCATCATATCTAGTCCTTCAGACACCTATTGATTTGTTTAAATTCCTCCTCTTACACTGATATTTTAATTCATTATCCTGTTGAATTCATGACAAGGTAGTGGTTTTCCAGAAGAATTCCATATTGCACAAGTAAGCTACTCAGCTACAGCTTCTTGAGTTTGCCCAACATTGTTTCCAAAAACAGAGCCCCAAAACATCAGTGGATCTCTCCTGTACTTCATAGTTGGTAACTGCCATTCACTTATTCATGCCTGCTGTTCTTGAACAGGCTGCATACGTATACATTCACAGTGAATGTTTCACAATCTGATCCTTATCAGACAGAAACGTGTGCCAGTTTCCAGCCTCTCTTTTAAGTGAGTTTAACACATGCTCATATTTAACTTTTATGTAGTGGTTTCAAGAAACCATTGAACAGATCTTTCTCCTAAATATGAATTCGTATCATACTGGCTAGTGTTATTTTTAATTTGTAAGCAAAGAGCCCTGATGAGGCAGAGCTGAAGCAGTAGGGCCTGCATGTTCTCTAGTGGGAAGCAGAGCCTCTTCATGTGCACACTTCATGTCTTTTGTGGGATTTTCTGTCTCACTTTGTTCCTACTCTTAACGGTGTAGAAAAGACTTTTTATCTTCAATTTTTTCTACCTCACTAATGTTCATTTTATAGTTTGTTTTGATCTTGTTCTTTATTACTGTATGTACCTTCTGGACCAATCATAGAGTCTTAAAATTCCACCTGTTCTGTATGGGATTTCCATTGAATAACACTGAGTTCCTGAAAAGACTTGCTTGTGTGGAAAGTGTGTACTTTGCAGTGAAAGAACATTCTAAATCATTAATTGTTTCCTGTGTGTGGATTCAGCATCCCCAAGGACTATTTCACTGTCTTTATCTCCATTTAGTTCTTTTGCTTTTACTATCTTAATGTTGTTTTTCCCATGAATGCCACCTATTGTGCCATGGTGTTTTATCTTGCACAACTTAACATCTGTGTTTATGAGTTGTGGTTACAAATTGCATCAGTTACACTAATTTTTAAGAACACACTATGTAGCCTAGCTGAAATTGGAATTTAAACTGGTTCTTGAAGGTTGCCAAATAAACTAATCACATTCTCAAAGTCAGGCTGTCTCCTAAAGCAAATTAAAATATTATCACTATGACTGAAGTCCAGAGGAGTTTGCCCACATAGGAACTGGAGGATTTAGGCCTATATTCTAATCAGTTATTTGTATTACACTAGTGTCCAGTGGCCCCAACCAGGATTGGAGCCCATTGTGATGCACTCAGTACAAACACATAGTTAAGTCCCTTCCCCAAAGAACTGACAGAGTTTAATTTAACTTTCCTGTGAATGCCCCCCATGCCCTCAGTTCTCCATACAAGTCATCAATAACATTATTTTCTCTGTTAAAAATGTTCCTAAAGTTCTATGAAGCATCTCCCTTGCTACAAACTGTGATATCCAGCATAACAAAATCTGACCTTATTAAAACTGATCCAGGTCAATAACAT